TAAATAACAATCGATTTGACCGCTCGGCACGTATGACAATGGAGTTAACTCTATGCCAAAGTGTTCATTGGTTGCAGTCTATAATTATACAACAATTATAACTTCAATCATTGAATAACTAATTGTTTATAAAATTAGTCAAAAATTACATGATATGGCGCTCCCGTGGATGATATGTTTTGTACGTTTTGTTCAGTAGTTTTTTGTTCGCCGATCGCATCGATAGTGAACATGAGTTCTGTATCACCACTCTCTGCACACATAACATATTAATTGAGTGATTATAACATTGAAAACATAGTTATACAATGAAATACCGGTATGTTTTCTAATGGTCTTAGCGATTGGTTTGATGGGCGGACCGATACCGATAGCGGTGCCCACAACAGTGATTTGTACTAAGTCTGCTTCGGGTAAATCTACCCTGAATTTCAAATCAGTTAAACAGCAGGGAATTAATCGACGAAACTTAACAAATAGACTCTATTGTAATGAATGAAATGCTTATGAGTTATAACAATAATATGAACAGCAATTGTGTTTCGAAAGACCACAAACCTGTATAACCCAATCAAATTGATGTCCAAATTGTTTGATTGATGTGAGTTTAGCCCTATAGACCTGCGAAAACATCTGCAAATTGCATACCATTTGACTCTGCATTCCCGGCAGTCCTTCACTGTTACACACCTTTCGATATAAAACAACAATTAATTTCAATTAATATTCATTTCAATTAATATTCTTGTGTTTCTCACTTCATATCCTTTAGGGACGTCTGAATCAATCATCAGTGATATAATATCTGCGTCTTCGGTGTCGTCCACTTCGAGAAGAACACAACTTTCTTTATTGCCATTATTTAGATCTATCTTAGGGTTAGTACAGATGTCCATTAAGACATCACTGGAGTCGTCGTTGTCATCGTCTTTGTCTTCAACTTTAACACCGTTTTGTGATTGATTAGTATTGGCGGCGATGTTATAGTGTTCACGATTTCTGGCAATACTTTCCGTAATTAAACCTTGAATTTCGCTCAGTTTCGCGCACTGAATGCCTTTTCCGGACGATATCTTAGGAGGCGATGGCGGCAGCAGTGGTGAGAGGAAGGCTCCGGTGCCCGTCGCCACCGCTATCAACATATTCTCACCAAAAGACACCTGAACTGAAATGCCAAACAAACCGTTCATTCCTTTGACTTTCAATTTACTCAACAGTTGTCGATGTAATTCGTATTCCAAGAATGGAAGTCCCTATCAATG